TTTGATCCATAAATGTGTTTATCAATTTCTTCTATATTAAATAATAAATATTTATATTATTGTTATTCAAATAATTAAAAAAATATAAACAATAATAACACATTCATCTTATATATGTGTTTAATCGTTATTAGTGAAATATTTTGTGTTTTTCAAAATCCTTTTCACATGACTTTTTCTTAGTAGTATCAGTAATAGACAATTTATCATTAAAAATTGTTACTTCTTTCATTTTTTATAATAAAAAATAAAAAGTGTTCAATAAACATGACCATTATTAATATTAATTCCAATTTTGTTAATTTTTTATTCAAGTTCATCATTTGGAAATTAAAAAAATTACTTCTCATTTTTTTGTAGTTTTGTTAATTATTATTGGCGATATATTTTAAGTCATCCAATCATATCATATTCTTGTGTTTCCTTTATAGATAACATATTAAGTCAATAATTTATAAATTCATTAATTTTGGTATTTATACACGTATCTTGTCTATTAAACTATATTTCTGAAAATATAAATTTTAATTCATATTTTTTCTAAATAATTCCGAAATTAATAAAATTTTATTGAGTAAACAAAATATTTTTTATTTAAATCTCCATTGATTTTTTTCTTCTATAAATTAGAATATTACAAAACTCCATTAGGAATAAATAAATTAATTTTTATTCAAATTTCCATTACAAAATGAATGAAGATGTATTGTACTGAATTATTGCTTGTAAAATTTTACAGAAACTGAAATATATGTGAATTTATTGTTTTCTTATAATATAATAAGAACATTTCTTATAGAAAATTAATAAACTTAAACGATTAACATACACTGATAAATTATTACATTTTTTATAAGAAAATTAATAAACTTCTATAATCTTAATTAATTGATTAATATTAATAATTTATAGAATTTTTAATGTTTCTACAATACATATTCAAAGTATTATTGATTTTAATATTTTCAGACACCCTTTATTGATGTTAATGAGTTTATTAATTTATGCAAAAATGTATTGATCAAAATATATATTTACTTTCAAACTTAGTTTTTAGGATGATCAAAGTCTTACAAAATTTGTTAATTGGGTTTGAAATATGATTTGGTCTACTTGAATCATAAATATATTAATAATTACTTTATACATATAATTTATAACAAATATGTGACTAATAAATATTGCCTAATAATAATGTGTAACGCCAATTTACTGTTAGTTTGAGAACTTTTAAATATTTATTAATTTTGCTTCTATCAAGTTGAGTATAATAATTATGTGATGAAACAGATAATTTGACATTGCTTTTTGATATGGTAAGAAACAAATTATCAACCTTTGTGAAAGTCATACATAAATGTACGAAAGAAATATTTCACAATAGTTTTTAATTTTTGATTTAATTTATATTATTTTTCTTAAGTTTTCATTAAAGATTCATTATTGGTTTAATATTTTTATTTAATTTTAGATTTCTATAACAGTAATTTTCAGTCAGTGTGTTACATATCGAAATTAAATAAGTTTAATGTCTCAAGTGTATTGTGAGATAAAAAAAAGTTGAATAAAACTGGTCTATAAAGATGTGTCATCTTTATAGAATTAATTTACACCTTGTATAATGTACATCGATGTAAATTGAGTTTCATTTTCTAAAGGTTATTTCACCAGTTTTTGTTGCCAAATGTAGGATATAAAAAACAAGGTATATTTGGATGAATCATTGTCGTGGTTGCTTCGTATTATTTAACCAAATTTGGTTGGTTCAGATTTACTGTTAATAGTCACGCACATTTAAATGTGGTTACAAGCATAATTATGATCAACTGGTTTGCATTCTTATATTAAAGGTACGTTTATTCGTTTAATTCAGTATGAAATTAATGTAAAGTAATTCTTGGAAAGCATTTGTGATTCATGAAATTTGTAAATCTTCCTCTTAGTAAACTCCCTATGGAGAAGACGCTAATTATTTTCAAGAGATGAGTGAGTAAGCGACGTATTAATTATACTACAATGAATCGTTACTTTCCCGGTACATTTTTATTCCGTTCAAATAAGTTAGGTAAATATTTCGGAAAAGCAATTAACTGCGCCGACTATGATTTATTTAAGTCACGTCTATAAATAATGCGTTTGACTTTGCGGTATTAAACTTTTTGGCAATTTCGCGGCCGAAAGTGTACTGCAAACAGAAACGCCCAGCTAATTGCGTCCCTTTTGTTTGGCAAAGAGAAAGAAAAAGCGGGGAGGGCGAGAGGAAGAAGTTCCTCGTTCGGTTCGTGACCAGGTTTGCATGTTCAGCGCGAACGTGATTCATAATCATTGCACATAACAGGAATGTCTCTCATCCCACAAAAAAAAACAAACTAAAAGTATTGCAGGTTTAAACCTAAACTGGATCAAGCTAGAGCAGGGACGGATTTAGGCATGGTCGTTGTGGGCTTCAACCCAGGGTCCCCTTCGCAGAAAAAGACCACCACAAACATTGTTACTTGAGAGACCCAAACTGTATTAGATCAGGGGCGTCAAACAGTGTAAGACCAGAGTCCTCAACAGTGTTGATTCAGTGTGTCATCCCAGACTCTTCAAACAGTGTTAAACCAGTGTTCTATAACAGTGTTGGCCCAAGGCCCTAAAGCATGGTTATCCCAGACTCCTCACTCAGTGTTAGTCCAAACATTACTATCCCAGAGTCCTAAAACAGTGTTAGCTAGGGCCTTCTAATAGTGTTATCACAGACTCTTCAAACAGTGTTATTCCAGACTCCTCAAACATTATTAGCCCAGGGCCCTTGAACAGTGTTAGTGTTAGGATATTCCAAAGTCCTAACACTAACACTGTTTGGGCAATCGGAAAAGTTAGCTTAGAGCCTTCAAATAGTGTTAGACCAGGGCGCTCTAACAGTAATAGACCAGGGCTCTCAAACAGTGTTAGCCCAAGGACCCCAGACTCGTGCACTCGTACACTGCTGTAAGCAGGATTATACAAGAGCCGTGGCCGTGGATACATTGTTTTGCAATAATTATATGCAAAATATGTATATATAATATAATCATCAAAGGAATGTGCGGTCAAACGACCACTTTATTCATTATTCCGGAAAATGGGTGTAAAAAAAAACTCATTTCAACTGAGCAACACTCGAACATTCACGAGAGGCCAATAAAACAAAAACAGTCTCTGAATGATAACAATTGCCTGCGCTGTGTGAATTGAATTTAATTGCACGAAAATTACTCGAGGGGGCGATGGTAACAAAAGCAAAAGAGTAAATACGAGATGCGAGGTTGTTTTCATGGAGTACGACAAGCTGCGTGCACTCCGTTTTGCAGCTTTTCCAGTTAATTATGAACGCCGTAAATTGTGGAGCAGCCTCGCATTGCGCACTTCGTGTTGTATGTATGCTCTGTATCCCTTTTCCGTTCGTTCTTTGTTGTACAGCGTAATGCATGCATGTGCAACAACTCCAAAGCTTTCGAAACATATATGAATATGGATATTTAGAACTTAAATTTCAAACCCATTTGTGTAAAATTATTACTCTGCAAATGAAGTTGTTTTATGTATGTTTTTTACGAAAGCTGACATGTTTTATAATATTGTGAGTAAATACCGAATCCATTGGATTAATTGCTTAGCAAAAGCAGAGAATTTTGTTAATTGTATTCCGCGAATTCCGAGTGCTTAATATTCCTAACTCGAAATGAGGTGGTTGGCGGTGGTGGAGATGGAGCGGTGTGAGTAGCAGAGGAGTTTTCGAACTGTTAAATATTGCTTTGTATTCTGGAAGTTAGTTCCATCCATGCCGAGCTTTTGTGTTTCGCTTGGCCGTGATAACTTTTTCCAATATCGATTCGCGCATTGCGCTGCTCTTCATTTATTAAGATTGTCGTGCATGTATATTCAATTAATGTGAATATATTGTTTTCTTGGATAAAATACTTGAATACGCCAATATGCTTACATAGTATTTAAGATTTGTTTTATTTCTCGTAAAAAGACATTCCCATTAACATTAAATGAAATCTTTTTCCTGCATTCAACAGTGTTCACTTAATAATAACACTTCTTGCTAAATCAGTATAATTTTCATTTAAAAAATAAAAATTATTTTAATATCATTAAATTTCTCTTTATATAATTACAAACATTAGGCTATCTACCAAAGTCCTTCTGTTTTTTAATTATTTTGATTGATTAATATTCTTTTAATATGTAAATATATTTGACTACTAATAGATTTCTATATTACTTCCAATAGATTTCTACAAGATTTCCACTAGATTATATATTTCAGATTTGACCATCAAAGCCAAAACATTTAGCATTAAGTTACTTGCTCATAATTGTGTCGTATATAGTTATTGAGAAAATTGATGATTTGCAGTTGATTCACATTTTTCAACTTTGGCTGCGAAATTTGACTGTTTCCATAAATGTAAATATTATTTAACTGCATTCTCTTAATTATTTAAGATTATCACCAAAATATAATTATGATTGATTTTTAACTTTTAATTCTATTTTCTGAGAATTTTCATATTTTTATTTTTGATATTATGTTAAGTTTATATTATGTTTGTTGCAATATAATATTTAAATAACAAATAATAATAATATGTATTACAACTACAAAGTTTGTAACCTTGCGAATTTCTTTATAACATCAGCGTCATTTTAATTTCTCAAGAAAAAAAGCATATTTCTAAGAATACAATTAAAATTTGGTTTACCTATTTACTATTGATTTGACTTCTTTCATTTAATAATTTAACTTTTTTTGAGTTTCCCGGGACTTCCGGTAGGACCAAAGTATTACTGCTCACTTGATTATAATTTATTTTATTTTTAAACCATATTTATTTTCTGAATAATATTTAATTATTCTCTTCATTTCACATTTTTCATTCATTCATTTTAATTTCTCAAGAAAAAAAGCATATTTCTAAGAAAATATTTTTTTCTCGAGAATTGCTTAAAAAAATAAAACTGCTTACCTGTAGAGCATGCGTTCCTGACGGTCAGCTTCGACGTAGATGCGGTAGTACATGAATATCATCACCATTCCCGGAACCCAAAAGCTGACACTGGATGAGATTACGGAGTATGGGCGGTTCACTGTGAATGAGCAGACCTGTGGGTTCTTTCTGCGGAAGTCTAGGTGTTCTTCTGTGGTGTACCACTCCATGAAGATGGGTAGAAAGGAGACAACGGCCGGGCTGCACCAGACCACAGCCAACATTAAGGCGAGTCTGCCATTGGTCATGATCAAAGGGTAATCCAGAGGTTGGACGATGGCGTAGTATCTATCCACGCTGATGCAGCAGAGATGTAGAATAGATGCAGTCGAAAAGTAAACATCTAAAGAGTTCCAGACGTCGCACATGAAGTAGCCGAAGACCCAACGGCCTCCAGTCACTTCGACGCTGAAGTTGAAGCACATCGCCCATATCGCCACCAACATATCAGCTAAAGCCAATGAAACTACAAAGTAGTTGGTGATGACGCGCAGCTTCCTGTGTCTCATCACGGAGACTATGACCAGGAGATTTCCGAAGAGCGCTGCCATGATGATCATCAGCATCACGGTCGTCTTGAAGACGAGGAACAGGCCGAGCAGAAAGGATCTACCCTCCTCCAGCACCGACACTGACGACGAATACGACAGGTGAGTACTGTTCACGTACCTGCTGAAGCCGCTCTTGTTCGCTCCGAATTCACTCCTGTTCACTTCCGGCAGCAGCACCATCTCGGTCATGTTTTTTTTTGCGAATTCCTTTCTCTTTCCCTTTTAATTAGGCGCGACACACCAGCCCCCACCGACCGCACCGAAACCGCACTCCACTCGCAGCAAATATTAATTAAAAGCCTCCTCTTCGTCTGCAACCCCCTTTTCGCTTCATTAGTCTCCTCTCCTCTTTAACATTACTTTCCAGTCCACCGTCCACCGTTGATGACATGTCCTCCATCGGGAAATTCTACAAGAAACAACAAATACATTGTTCAATTATTATTTCACATTTCCATTAGACATTCATAGCTATATTTAAATAATAAATAATAATAATACTTTATTGGCCAGAGAGGAAATACAAAAAAAAAAAAATCTATAAATAAATAAATGATAATAATAACAACTAAATAATAAAAATAAGTAAATAAATTCTAACAAAAATTAACAAAAAAGAAATATTAACATGCTTTACAAAGGGCTATCGACCGAGGTCTTTCCGCTCGGGAAATAAATTTAATTATGGAACAATAACAATATATAAATATTAAAAACAGAAGAATGAGGAAAAGAAAATAATTAAATAATATATTATTACAGATTTAATATGCAACTTTCATTTACTGTAATACGTTTTTTTTTAATTTGGTTTGAGTTTTGAAATCATCACCTTTGTAAAAGGACATGAAGTAACTTAAATTAATAAATTTAACAGTAAATTATGGTTTATATATGGGATAAGTGAGAGCTGATGTAACGTTCTTAGACGACAAGCGCTAAACGAAACAGCGTTAAACCAAGTCACATTACCATATAGTAAATTAAGAGCTTTTCTTAGACTTTGAGTAGACCGCATTGTATCAAGTATTCAGGATTAATCGAGGAAACGCTAAAGGAGGTCTTACTCTGTAGTAAATAAATGTTGATATATTCTGACCAATTATTAATAAATTGAATAAATAAATTGAAATTGAAATGTATTGAACAGTGTAATATTTGAACAATATGTTGACGGTATTTAATGCTGCACGTTCCTTTGTATGCATTACCAATTAATTTTCACTGATAATCCGCACCGATAGACTCACAACTGCCGCTATATAGGTATATTTAGGTATTTATATCCGTCGTCATAAAATATTTCATTCGAATGAATATTAATTACACGAATCTAGGCTTAAGTTTGCCGGCAATTAAGCTGAATGAATTTAATTAATTAATTGCTGCGCTTCATCGATGCAGCTGCAAACGGAGATTGTGCATAGGAATTTCGAAAATCTGGCGCACCACATAAACGAAAGAAAATAATTCTCTGCTTTTATGTACACAATAAAATTTAGTTTATTTATTTAACTTGTTTCAATTTTTAACAATTTACCTTTTTTTAAATTTCCACCAAATTTACTTGATTATAATTTACTTTTTTTAATTCTTATTTCTTTTTATATAGAAAATAAATTTTGGTTTAGTATTTTACTATTGATTTATCTATTTTTTAATTTTTAATATTTTTACTTTTGAATTTCCCGGGATTTTCGTTACGACCAAAGTTTTTCTGCTGACTTCATTATAATTAAATTATTTTTTATTAATATATGTTTTCTCTATTTCTCTCTTTTCATGAATACAATTAAAATTTGGTTTACCTATTTACTATTGATTTGACTTCTTTCATTTTTTTAATAATTTAACTTTTTTTTTGAATTTCCCGGGATTTCCGGGTATTACTGTTCACTTGATTATAATTTATTTTATTTATAAACCATATTTATTTTCTGAATATTATTTAATTATTCTCTTCATTTCACTTTTTTCAAGTGTCCAATTAGTTATTACTGTTGATTTGAATTTCTTTAATTTTTTAATAATTTAACTTTTTTTAATGACCTACTTGATTTTTCTTTATATTTATGTTTCTCTATATTTTTTTTTTCTCTTTATTTCAGTCTTTTTATCTATTCAATAAATTTTAGTTTTTCACAGGATTCCCGATTAAATTCATTTTAAAATATTACCTTCTACACTTAGATCTAAACGTGCAATGTAAAAAGAGCATTTTTATATCAATTAGACATTGAATTGAGAGCTTCCAATGAACGTCTGTATCTTTGACTGGGTGTAATTAAACATGTTTAATTAGTCTGAAACGATTCGTTGTTATTGGAACTATACAAATATTTGAACTCGCTTCGTTTCATTAAATTTCTGAGACTCGGATCAGATTGTTTGCTTTTGAGCGACTCGTGTATTTCATCTAATTACACGCGAATTTATTTTAAATACCGTAATTTCCGTTCCTGAAAATGAGAAATTGTGATAAATGTTTTGCCAGGAACGAAATGCATTTGAAATTACGCAATTATAACGTAAAAGCTCACAGGTATTAAAGCTTATTATCTCAAAATTAGTATCGTTATTTAATCAATTGATTTACGAGCTTCATTAAATATATTTAAGTAAATAAATGCATATTTTTGGTGGTTTTCAACTATGATTGAAAAGCATAAAATTATGGATCATTGCAGAATTAAAGCTGTTTAAGTCAAAATTTTGTAAAATTTGTTTTTGAAAATGGTAATTATAATAATATAAATTTCAACAATTGTCAATAGGTATACATATAGGAATAACTCGGATAGTGCGGATAAGAGGTTCCGTCAATAATTTTGAAACCGGATTAATCGAGGATTTTAAAACCACATAAATTGTTTTGTTGATTCAATATGTAATTTTCTATATACTCTGTAAACAATTCAATTATAAAAAAATAAAAACGAAAATATTGACGGAATGTCCACAGTTACTTGACATTTTATATACCATATATTTGGTATATAAATATATATTTTATTCTCTTACTTTTGAATCAGCAACAAATTGTTAAAATTTAAAGATAAAAATTATAAACAATTATAATGGATTAATGATAGTATTTCATTATATATGAAACAGGCATTCGTTCAATGTTTATTGAACAACTAATTATCAAATTTTATGAAAAAAAAACTAGTTACAATTATTCAATTCCAAATAATAAAAATAAAAAATATTCACAGAATACTTGCAGTTAATAGAAATTTCACATACCAAATTTTCTGTGTATAAAATCTAAGTTAAATAAGATAAACTTTAAGAGTCATTTAGACAGATTTTATACGATTCTATAAAAGTTGAGACCTATTTCCTGATTAAATTCAAATTAATTATGGAACTAAATCATAATCATAAAATATGAATAAATTGAATCGACATCATAATAATTATATTCCATTAAAAAAAACTATGAATATTTATTCCATTAATTCTTTGATGGACGGTGGGACACGCATTGTCCCACTCTTTGAACATATCTAGTGGGGCATTATTATAATTTTCTAGAAAATGTACAGAATAGAGGAATTACCATTTAATTTAGTTGGTAAGTCAATCTTGTTAGACTATGCCATCTGATGTTGATTTAGTTGTCTAGAAATTTAGAAATTTTTGGCCTCTCAAAGAGTTAAGCGGTATGATTCATTGTACGCTACCTTAGTGGCAAATATATTCGTCATAAGCACTTCACACTACAAGAGATCATGACAAATATATACGACATAGCCAAATGATTATATGCACATATAATAATTTAATATAAAATAAAGGGAAATTGTAAGATTTTTTTTCTTATTTTTTTTAATTGCATTTTTTTCCCTTACTTTTTTAAAAATATTTATGCATTACAGGATAATGTATTTGTTTCTACTTATATTTTAACCAATAAGCAACGAATTATCGAAATTTAAAAAAATCCTTATGTAGATTTCCGTCTATTTAAAAGTTATTATTTATATTTTTTGCATATATTATAATAAAAAATAATTAATAAGAAAATATTAATAGAATGTTTTCAGATTATTGTAAATAATTCAAAATAAGCAATAAAATTTAAAGCATTTAATTTTCATCTGTTATTTTCACTAATGAGTAATGAATTATCAAAAAAATTGCTTATCTTATAATTAATTCACTAATAAAACACAGAATGAAATAAGTAATATTGACGGAAATTGTGTAAACGTTTGATAAAGCATATTCACTATATACAATAGTCACTATTAATAAGAAATACTGTATCAGGAATGTGAATGAATATTATTCTATGATCTAGAATTCAAGACTTATTTTTGAAGATTAATTTGAACTAAATCAGAAAATATATTTAGTCGTATTTCATAAATTAAAGCAACGAATATCATAAATTTATATATTTTTTATACTAATTTTAAATATTGCGGGATGTTTCGTAATTTTATGAAAAATCTTAAAATTAACAAAACGTTATCAATAGATAATTTTTATACCACAATTTCATTGTTGTTTTATCATCATCGTGTACAGTATAAATTTTATTGTTGCTCTGAAAAAGGGAAAAAAAGGGAAATACAATTGTATCAGTTACAGTCGGGCGCATAAAGCAAATTGGATTATCTAATGGAAAATTAACTATTTAAATACTAATTACCGTTGGCTACAGCTAGTTCGTAAACGACTATATAATGTACCTTGTTTTTATAATAGTCTGCGATCCGCAATTATCACTGTCATGCATGCAAACGTTTGTATTTCAATTTAGAACGTTTATTTTTTTTATAACTCTCTTTCTCTGATTCCCTACTCTTCCTACGTTTTCTCTTTTTCCAGCAAAAATCGGAAACGCGAAGCACAGCCGGCAATTGCGTTTGCTAAATTGACGCGAAACATTTTAATTGACTTCTCGATATTTTTTTTAAAGTTTTTTTTAGATTTTTTTTTAATACGTAATACTCTGAATATCCATGGACATGTTGGTTAATTCTTGTTTGTTTCTTTATTTAAATTGTTGGTAAAGGTTTAATAATTGTTTATTTTTTGTATTAAGTTAAAAATTTGGACACACGTGAGAATCGCGCGTCGCGACGTCTGGAGATCTGCGGTCGCGATATTGTCGTGACGGCGCGCCGTTTTCGACTGAACGCGCGGGCGTCGCGACGCTCGCAGCTGCCCGCTCGCCAGGGGGCGCCCGCAGAGACCTGTTGTCACACTTTCTTCTGTTCGCATTTTTTTGTTCTCTTGTTTTTCCCTCGATCTTATTTTTTTTGTCCGTTCCCCGATTCGCTCTCTTTCTCTCAGCATTGCTTTTCTTATGGCCGAACATAACGCGAGGGCGTCGGATAATTAGGACCTTTGCTCTCCCATGGGGATGACGCTCGCTTTGCCTCGGTTTATTTTACTTTTCTGCTAAGAAATTCGATTTTTCCGGCTGTTATTTACAAGCTTTGTTGTCCTACAACAAACTTTGTCTAGTCGAAAATGTTTTCCAATAAAGGATAATTCCTATAATCTATTGTGCAAATTTTAGGACATAAATAGATGAATTAAAGGGATTTCATAGACCAATGCGGTATTGCGGGAACGATTGCAGCGCTACGCTGAAGAATGCGGTATGATGCTGAAGCGGGAAATCGCACGTATGTAAATGTTTAGAAATCCTTCCAAATGCTTTAAAATCCGCGTAGAGCTTCGCAATCCTGATGTATCACATTGGTATGCGGGAATCTTAACTTGTTAGATAACAAATTTACGGATATAATATTAAAAAAAATGAATGATTGACATCATTGAAGAACTTCGGAATTTAATAGAATTATTGATTTTCTAACAATTTGCTTTCAGGACAAACCATAAGATATCTCGCATTGAACTCTTTTCAAAATTTTTTTTTTACTTTTTTCCGAACATTATTTCATTATCAAAACTGAATTTCAGTTCACAAACTGGCAATCAGGTTCATGAGATTTACCAATAGGCAGCTCATGTTGTACATTTTTCTGAACATAATTTCGGTTCACAAACAAATAAACAGCTAATTAGATTTAACCAAAAGACATTTTTCTTATTCATGAACATAATTTTGTTTTCTAAACATAATTTAGGTTCACAGACAGGCAAATTAGCAATCAGTTACATAAGATTTACCAAAGCGCAACTGGCCTTGTATTTTTCTTTCAACATAATTTCGGTTTCCAAACTAAACGTCACAAAATGGTACTCAACTACATAAGGTTTACCAAATGACATTATACTTTTCTCTGAACAAAATTTTAGTTCCCAATCTTATCTTCGGTTCACATGCAGACAAACTGGCAATCAGGTACAAGAAAATTACCAAAAGGCAACTTGCATTGTACTTTTTTCTGGACATAATTTCGGTTTCTAAACGGAATTTTGATTCACGAACACGCAAAGTGTCAATCACATAATGTATAATACGCATTTACAATATTATTTTTTTAATGAGTAATTTGCATATAATGTTTTTGTCAATAATATATGAGTGATTCTGTTCCAGAACAAGAAACAAATGAAAAAACAACTTACACCTTGCTGCTTTCCAAATATAATTTCGGTTCCTAAACTGAATTTTGGTTCACAAACAGACTTACTCAGATTTACAGCGACAAATTATAAATTACTTCCTATATAGTTTCCACTAATTTTATTACTTTTGTGAAGGATTTATATTCATGAACCACAGATAGGTTTATTATTTGTTATCGAAAATTCTCATAGTTTTCGAATAATGCAGTTCAAGAAAAGCATTTAGAAACATATAATATTCGACAATCGAAGTAGGTTTCGACAAAAAACATACCACTGCTTTTCGAACAATCAGGTAAATTGAAAATCACGAACTTCACTTTTTTTCCATTTTCAACTTATTACATCAACTCTCTTTCGTATAAATAAACTGAAGTTAAATTTCCGTTCATGTTTACCTAATTATTGTGTTTATTTGGTGTAATTTTATTGTTGTGGTAATAAATGTTGTTATGATTCTATTGTTTAAAATTTTATGTATTTTGATAGCTTTTGTATACGATTTTATGCAAGAATGAACTGTTATATAGTTTTAAATAAGCAATGCGAGAATCCAGTTTTCTTATGAAAAAATGGTTTTGGATTTCGAAAAATTCAGTTCAAGAACAGCATTTAGAAGGAAGTATGTTCGATAATCGAAGTAATTTTGTTAAATCGCTTTCCATGTACCATAAATGTATGTCTTGTTAGAATAAACACATTTGTTTGTTTACCTGTATCTACTACGGAAGGGTCAGGGTGACCCACCTGATATTTGCTTTCATTTAGATTTAAGTATTTTCTATTTCAGTAAGAGCAAAAAAGAGCGACATATTTTTGTTGTAGAGTCTATTTAAGGTCTAATTGAAAAATAATCAATATTTGGATTTGAAAGTTCAATAAATTTGGTTTCCAATGTACCAAAACTGGGAAAACTAGTAATTATAAACTGTATATCAGTATGCATGACACTATACTGTGAATGAAAATTTAAAAAAACTGATAACATACTCGTTCAAATATGTGCCAATAGCTTTACTTCATTGTATATTAAATATCACTGGTATTAACAGTAAAGTTATATATGAATTATCAGCACTAGGAATGAAGAATTCTAGGTATTCTCTGATAAAATAAGTACGATGTGCTTGTGTGAACTATATATGCATGATCGATAAGTTTCTCCGAAATCTTAGAAGACTGATTGCTAATATCATGCAGGCTATAATGCCTGTTGAAACACAACCTAATTAACGGATTCCTACATCCAAAAGAAAGAGGTGTTTTTTGTCCATCAAAAGCGACAAGAAAATAGTAACGTTTTATGACATATGCAAAAGAACAATTTATTCTACATGCTCAAGAAATGCCCAGATTGTATTTAAAATTTGGTTTACTAAGGCAGTGATTGTTAAAGTCGGGGTTTCGAAAAATATTTGAGAGGGTCGCAGAAAAATTGATGACAGATCAATCCTGGTTGTTTTTCTACACATATCCATTATTCGGGGAGCCGCAAACATTTTTTAAGTGCAACCAAAAAGTTTGAGAAACGCTGTACTAAGGTACCCCTAGAATAAATTCAGCACATAGTACAAATATGCAAGTTATGATATTATGAATTATTTGTTGACCTTGAATTGCTGCTTTAAGCTAAGTCGATTGGATATGTAAAAAATCGCAAAGCAAGTGATGTGCGCGCATCTTTTGTCAATGTAGGATTTAACACTACTTATATGCAAAAACTGACGAAAATTGTACACCTTATTAACCTACCTTAGTACTTCCCAAAATGATGTGTTGCGGCATACTGGTGTGCCGCGAAAGTACAGCTATAGTGCCGTAATAAAATTAAACGTAATGTCTTGACTATGAAACGGTACTGGATGGCTGATTTATGCTTGTGAGGTGTGCTGTGATGTGAAAAAGGTTAGGATGCACTGACCTACCATGGAATAAGGTAGCAGTTTATAATTATTTAGTAACTTTTAGCTACATTCACAGTTAAATTACTTTCTTGAGAAATTCCAAGATCAATAATACAATATTTGAAACGTTTATAATATCGACGATTCGTTTAAGTTGATGCATTAACGATAAAGAAATATTATATATAGATTTTTATGCCATTTAGTGACATGTGATGTCTATTTGATTATTTAAAAAAATAATAAACGCGTTAATGGAAGATTTAGATGCGTTTTGAATAGAAGTAATCGAAGATGGGGGAATTTAAAGTATTTATCAATAATACAGCGGTTGCACGATTCAGGCAGAAATAATGAATAATTCACGCTTAAAACACTTTAGCTCCGAGGAGGCCGTATGCGCAATTCGAACTAGATTCACGCTCGCCCACGAGCAATCAGGATCGAACCGCATTTTTCTCAGTACTCGCCTAATTAAATTGAAGAGTCAAGGCCCATCGAATAAACTACGTTACATTTCCAGTCTTTCTCTAAATACGTACTAGAAGCGAAACTCCTGACACTAAGTGCTCTGAATGCGACGCACAGCATATTGGCAATTTACGAGACGAGCAAAAGATTGTCCTTAAATTGATAACTTACATTACATCACATCAAGACGAAGGGATGATTCACAAAACATAGCTTTGTCGACGATTTTCCACGACCAAACTTGGCGCTAATTAGCGAAGAACTTGAATAATTAGCGATAGTTTCGCGAATTACGCAAGAGCTGCGGAAAATTCGCATATTGTATTTGTGTGTCGCTCCAAATGACGAAGGGAAAATTTCCATCTGCGCCGTTTTGCAATTAAAAAAGTTTCGAACAATTCCATTGTAATTAAAGGGAAGTACGCAAACAAGGAAAGTATGCGATGCGACCGGTGCGTAATAAATTCGGAAAATTAAAATTAAAAAAAAAAACGAAAAAATAATAAAAGGAAACGGAATACGGGCAAACGCGAAACAAGGAAACTGGCGGAAATTCGCCACTCCATCCTTCATTTCTCTTCCAGATAGAATTCCTCATTTCCTACCGTAATCTGCTTGTCAGACCAACCAGCAAACACCATCGTCGTCGTATCCCTCAAGCTCTCTCTGTTTCTCTTTCCTCGAGGTTTTTTTCTACCCTCGGCCGCAGTGAAAAGTTTATTTATATTTTCCCTTGACGATGAAAAAAAAAACAGGATGCTGATATATACAATACAGGGATTGCGCGCGATTAATTCTTTTCCCAGTTTGGTTTAATCTTGGAGACGTTCAGCTCGAAACGCGCTGCAGATTAATTCCTGTTCCGGAAAATGCTATCTCTTGAAGCGCATGTTACTTGCACGTGACGCAAATCTAGGTCACAGTGCCTTTTACTTTTATTTTTTGTTAATGGGTTTTAATGATTGTGCACTTTCCTTTTAGATCCAATACATCCAATTTGTAATAACCATAATATACTTATTGGTTCTTTAATCTTTAATTCATTTGTTAGGTTTCTCTAAAATTGTCCTTAAGATGTATATAATCTCTTAAATCGTGTTACGTTGGATGGCTTAAAAGTCACTTGACTATTTAAAATATGAATAACTCTTTCATACTAATTAATTACAAAACATTTCTTTCATATTATTAAAGTGCAATTC